CAGTTGAATTGATTGTAAATGGGGATGAACTCGAGAGAGGATTTCTCGTTTGATTTTAGGAAAACATAGCTCGGGTTGTGGAAACGGAGACGTGATGCACCTCGGGTAGCCCTTAAGGACTTGACCTAAATGCTCTCTTAATATCAGGTTCTGAACGGAGACGTCGGACCTGTGGGTAGACTCTAACTACACTGGAGACGGGGGTTAGGGTACTTTAGTGTCTGGGTTAGCGAACATAGAATTGACATTAGATTCGGATTTGTAGATCTTTATCGATAGTACACTGGTGGATTTTACCCTAGAAGCCATCACACGTCGGAATTCCTCGATTATACTGGCGGACCGTTGTTTTTATTTTTGTTTCCTTTTTGCTTCATTTCATCCCCCATTATTTCCTTCGTCTAGATAGAGTTTAGGATAGTATAATTACGGTACTTGGTAGATTTAGGAACTTAATTCCCTGTGGATCGATATCTGGAATTCACTATTCTACAAAACGCGATACTGTACACTTGCGGTTATTTATACGTAGGTTTTACGCGTATCACCCACCAACAGTAACAAATTTACCTATCACCCATATTATTCAGATAATGGTTACGTACTATCTTCCCCATTATATGATACTATGTTTTCCCACCAACAGTACCAAATTTACCTATCACGCATACTATACGAATAACGGTTACGTACTGTAAGTACCATACGTCCATACCATATTTATATTAGCATGATACTATTACGTGTCATATTCTATACTATGTATCACACAATAATTAACAACCATAAAGAAATGTATTTGAGCAGTACAGAAAAGGATGGGGACTTACCAGCCATCGGTGCGAACCCTTTTTCCACGCGAATTAGCTTCATGTTTGCGGATCACGACAATGTCGACCACACTCATCTTCATTATCAAATGCAATGCAACCATATTCTCCACATCTTCATCACTACCGAATTTCACATACAATCTTTCCCGAGGAGCCAAGTATTAGAGGATCAGTGCATCTAGATGGATATGATTCCATTTGTTGATAATAGCACCATATATCTCCATTAAGGTTGAATTACTTTTGATGGAAATAATGTGAAGTTGATCTTTGTATCGACCACTTCCAAGAATCACAGTTGGCACATCATTTGTAGCCATTGTGGGGTGGGTGGATTTTACAGTGATTTTTTCGTCGGAAAAAGAGGAAACAAGAGGAGAGAAAGAGAGAAGAAAGAGAGCCGATAGAAAGGAAGAAAGAGAAGAAAGAAAGAGAAGATGAAGAGAAAGAAAAGGAAGAGAGAGAAAATGGTGAGAGTGAAAAAAGAAGAGAGAGAATATAATATTAAATTCACATTAAGGACTTATCTGCATGTTAGACGCGTGAGTAGGGACTGGTCTGTGTTTTGTGTTTTGGGTTAGGGATTTATCTGTAGTTTCCCCAAGATTTTATATAGGTATTAGCCTAGACCCCCCTCTGTAACTTCTAATTGTCGGAAAAGTCGTATTAGAAAAATTAGCAATAAGCCCTCCATGTTCCATTTTATTTAGTCCATTGCCCTCTAAACGAAATAAACTTGTCGACTTTAAGGAAATGTCTATATTGCCCTCATTAAAACATAAAATAAAACAAAATAAAAAAATATCAATAAAAATATATAAAATATCACCTTCCACGTGTCCCCTCCCCACAAATCTTCTTCCTTGTTCATCTCCGCCGCCATTATAAATTTCTCCTCCGCCATCCACCATGGTCATCTCCCCAATCGTACACAACACTCACAATGAAAGCACTAAATTCGAGAAAGCAGCAGCCATAGATGCTGGAAAAACACTAAAAACTCTTGTTTTTTTTTTTGTGGATTTTTTGTTTTTCTGAAAATCTCTGATTGAAGATTATTTCTAAAAAAATTCGACAGGCGCAGATGCAAAGATATTTTCTGGGATTTTCATGGATTGTTTGACTTTTGTAGTGGAGGAGCCGCGACTAAATTTGAAGGTTCGGCAGAGTTTTGTTTGAATGAGAATTGCGATTTAGTCCCCTGACTTGAAGGATAAGAGGGTTTTTCTGAAACTTGAAGGGACTGAATTGAAAATGTTAAAAACTTAATTTTGGTGTTTATTGCTAAACTTCTATTTTAAAGTGTATTCGAGGCTTTTCATGTCTAAAAACCAACCCCAGTCAAGAGTGTATTGCACGATGGACTCGTAAGGATCTTATTGGCCTTGACTATGTTTTATAGAGGGATTATTGCTAATTATTTGAACATAGGCATTTGTGATTTTGTGTAGCAATTAGAGATTTTACAGGGGTGGTCGATGCTAAAAGCTAAGAATTTATACGACGTCTGTAAGTCATTTGTTGGGTCCAATCATAATTTTTTTTTAACAAAATTAGACAGTTTTATTAACACATCTCAGGTGAGATAAGGGATTGAATTGTTACAGGGAGATTAGATAAAGTATAAGTAGGGCCAGTCCTAGTGTCTGAGAGGCCCAAGGCGAAGTAGGAATAAGATCGAAAATGAGGCCCCTTAACTAACCAAGTAATATAAGAAAAGAAAGGGAAAAAAACTAAACAAATAACAACCAGGATTTTTTTAAATATGTCTAAATTCAAAATTTATAGATGTTCAAAATAAAAATACGTTCAATAATCATTAAAATATTATCTTTCTTGCCCTCTAAGCTGCAAAATCATCAATCAAACTTCTCTGTTGTATGTTTTTTTCAATGGATCTAAACTTATTAAGCTTCTATTCTTTGTAGTATATTTATATGTAACATGTAATATATATCAAATCAAGTTTTTATTCTTTGTTTTTTTCTTTATTTTGTGATGTCCGGACTCGAATTTTCTTAGGGGCCCATGATATAGAGAAATAATCAATCTATAGCATTATAAATTAGGGGCTATTTGTTAAACACCCTCAATTGACATTTTACTTGTTGATAAATCCTTAATTTGTAATTGATATCTAACATAAATCCATTGGGCCTAAAAAACATTATATACCCCTACTAATTAGTATAATTATTTTAAATAAAAAGTACGGTGAATTAAATGCAGAATCTCTCCAAAATCGCATTACCTAAAAATCCTCCTAATATTTCTCTCCCCAAAATCCTCCCAATATTTCTCCATCTCTCCACAAATTTCGCCTCCAACTTTCCCAGTATCTCGAAAATTCATTTCATCTTTTTTTCTCTTGATCTCCAAATATTGCATCAATGGCTTCACGTTTACTATAAGAAAATCTACTATTATTTTCGAACAAAAACTTCTTCTCTTTAGGGCTAACAACATACATATATTGGTTCAACATCACACAAGCTTTTTCCGTAAAAAAATGACGTATATGACAGTGGAAATGGCAAAATTCACTTTGCACAATAGTGGATTCAATAAAATGGGAAAGTCAAAATCAATGGATTTAATAAATGAAGGACATAAACCACTCAGAGCGTGAATACCACTCTGTGCACGAAAACCACTTTGTGCGCAAAACTCACTCTTACATTTGTTTAAGCATCAACACAACGTGTACAGTGCACCAGACACATACAAATCTTATATATATCAACACAACGTGTACATACACTTTACAAATACACATACAAATTATTGTCCAACATAAACAATACAAAACTTCACATACAACTCATCTTAAATTCTCATGTGAGCCGAAAATCACCATGTGAATTTGCACGGCCGCCACTTATCCAAATGACACAAACAGATTATTATTTATGTGAGTTACAATTTCGATTCCACATAAACGGATATGTGCAATCAATAAGCGTTAATGGTGGAATCGATTGAGATAGCGTTCATTAAAATATTTATGTAGAATATATTATGTATCTTCTCTAATAATAGATATTAAAAACATGTGTATTAATTAGTTAGGGGCATAATAGTGATAATTAAGGGTTTTTAATTAATAAAAGCTCTTTTGAATTTATCTTAAAAATGAAAAATAAATTTGGGCCTAATGTAATGACCCTTGTGTAATGAGGAGTTTTATCAAATTATCCCTATAAAATATAAAAGAAAATGCGACCTAATTATTAAACTAAAATTAACTCAATTTTGATTGTCTGTGGAATAGAAAAAAATTAGAATAAAAAATTGATAAAATAAATTATAGGAGACACAACCCTAAATTTCCTGTCCCTATTCCCTTTGAGTTATAACTACTTTTTGGATATATTTTGGGGGTTATATGCCAAACATCCTTCATTGGAATTTCAATTCTTGATAAATCCTTTATTTATAAATGATATTTGAGATAAATTCAATGGGCTTGAAAAACCATATATGCCCCCAGTAATTATTAATTAATATAACTATTTAATTTAAAAAAAATTATACCCATAATCTACACACAAATCTTCTCCTAAAATTATTCCCCTCATCACGTTAATTCAGTTTTTTTTTTCCTTTTCTTTTTTATTTTGTTTAATGATTTTCTTTATTTCGATTTAAAATAAAATTTTGTAATTATATTATTTTTTTACTTTTCTTATCTTCGTTTTTTTATTTTAAATTTTTTTTCTTATTTATCTTTTTCATGTTTTTTTATTTTAGCTTAAAAAAGGGTTTTATTTATTTATTTTTTCATGGTTTTTTTTTTCTTAATTTCGAATTCTTTTGAAAATGATTTTTTTTTTATTTCCAGTTTTTTTAAATAAAAAACACTCTATATAAACATAAAAACCACTATGTATAAACATCTATATAAACATGAAAACCACTATATATAGCAATTATATAACATGAAAACTACTATGTATAGTAATTATATAACATGAAAACCACTATGTATAACAATTATGTAAACTCGAAAACCACTCTGTATAACAACTATGTCAACATAAAAATCACTCGGTATATACAGTTATATAAAAATTTGTACAAAAATTATTAAAAACCACTATAATTATTTATACAGATTTTTATAGTGGTTTTTGTAAAAATATTGAAAACCACTATAAAAATCTGTACATAATTATTGAAAACCACTATAAAAAAATGATGATGCAAGTCGAGAGAATTGGAAAATAGCCGAGAGAATCAACATCTCCCTCACCGCACTGCCCAGAACCCCAAAATCGATAATGGGAGCGTTTGCAAATCATCTAGTCCAGGATCTACACTCATTTCTTTCTCCTCGGGAATGGGAGCGTCGATCGTGGGAGGGCTCTGAAGATGTTTAATAAACAAATTAGTTCCTTAATTGCGCTGAAGTAAAATTACAATGATAAATAATAAGAACATAGTGCGTACGATTGATTAATTACCATGCAACGAACAAGAGCCCAATTGATACCACGGAAGAAGGGATGCTGCTTAACTTCGTTAGCACCTTCTCGTGATCCTAGTCTGTTTTTGGGATCTCTGTGTAGCAATCGATACATTAACTGCTTCCCTTGGAGACTAACCTATACCCAACCATAGTTTATTAAAATGTACCCAAACATAGTTTATTAAAACTCCGTTAAATTGCTACTATTTCATAATCTCCGATTCACAATCAAATTATTCTTGCTGAATAAAAATAAAAATAAAAAAATCTAAAATAGCTATAAAAAAGCACACCTCTGTACTTCTTGGAAACTTTAAATCCTTGTGAAGAATGTTTGCAAAGGTCTTCTGCCTCATTTTCCCTTTGAATGGCGTATATCCATAAAGCATCTCATACAATAGAATTCCTACATAGCAACAAGAATTCAATATCGGTCATAAGAAACTCTTTCATATATATAATATATAATGTAAAATATAAAAGAGCACAGATCCTCATACCCTAGGATGAGGAGGTCGACGAGGGTGTGGTCTCCGATGTGGTCGTCCGGTGGGGCCGCGAGGGTACGGTGTGGGTGTGGTCGTCCGGTGGGGCCGCGAGGATGTTGGTGTGGTCGTTCGCTGGGGCCGCGAGGGTGTGGGTGTGGTCGTCCGGTAGGGCTGCGAAGGTGTGGGTGTGGATGTGGGAGTGAGTTGTGGATAAAAGAGGGAGAGAGGAGAAAAGAGAGACGCTGTGGCTTAGGAGGATTTAATTAGGTTAAAAGCTTGAGAAAGGGTAAAATAGGTTATTAATAATATAATTTACTAAATAAAATGCAATTGGATTTATCTCAAAAAGGGAGAAAAAAAAAAAGGATTTAGTTTAATGAGACAATGCATATGAGGGGGTTTTCCCTAATAATCCCTATATTTTGTATATATAACTAGGGTAAATTAGAAACACCCCCTGAGGTATGGTCAAATTACAAAAACACCCTTCTTGTTTGGATAATTACAACCACCCCCTCAACTCCTCAAATTTAGTGGAATCTTTCAGATTATATGGAATATTATCACTTTTGTACCCGTTTTATCCCATTCAATCTCTAAATTATGAAGCAAGATGACCATAATATGTGATTTTTAGCTTGTATATATCAGTTTGTGGTGCATCGGAAACTGTATTTTTACACAAAACGAGTACAAACTAATGCACATTTCACGAAATCTAGATGATTATGTTGAATTTGGTACCATAAGGGTGGAGGTGTAAGAAAAAAAACATAGTTGAGGGGGGCAGATGTAATTATCCAAACAAGAGGGGGGTTTTATAATTTGACCATACCTCAGGGGGTGTTTGTAATTTACCCATGTAACTATAATGATGTTGTGGCTCTTTGAGAAAACCCCCTCACTACTTTTTTAATGGAGGAAGGCCCAAAATATTTTAGTCCATTTGAGAAAAGCCCACACCCATTTTAAGCCATTATGTTTTTCAGCTTTGCCCCCGCCCGCCACATCATCACTCGGTCACGCGCTCAGCGATTTTTTTTTTCCGGATTTTTTTCCCGTCTTTTCTGTATCAGTTTCCTTAATCGACTATGAAGCATAGTCGATTAAGGAAATTATTTACTTTTTTTAATTTTTTTTGTTTTTTAAATTTTATTTTATATCAGGTATATTAATCGACTATGATGTGAAGCATAGTCGATTAAGAATCTGGTACTAAAAATAACAAATCACAACTGCGGAAAAAATACAAAATCAACTATATATTACAAAAACAAAAAATATATAAATATTATAAATGATTTATACAATTGAAAGCAATAAGCAAAAAATCCAAAAAAAATAAAAAAATTGGAGTCGATGAACCTTAATCGACTACCAGAGCATAGTCGATTAGCTTAATCGACTATGAACATGTACATAGTCGATTAAGGTTTCAGCATGCGCGAAATTCTCTACACGCGCCTTCATCCGTCCAATCCACCAAAAAACCCTAAATCTGCCTCCCCATCGTCACCACACCGCCGTCACAACACACCATCATCACCTTACTTTGATATTATGATGGTTTTTTTATTACAAATAAATAAATAAAATCACAACTCGCACCACCAACCAAAGCAGAACCACCACCCATCAAAATTCGATTTCGGTGACAAATCGACAATTTATGGATTTTGTTAAGATCTGCCGATAACGACCCCGACTTCGACGGCGACGGCGACGGAGACGGCACCGACGACAATGGCTTCAACGGAATTAGCATCTTTGTTCTGGTTGGTTCTTCATCTTCCGATCAAGAGAGAATAATCTAAAGAATTGAGAGAGAAAAGTATAATATAGAGAAAAAAAACAGAGAATAGACGGGAGAAGAAGAGACCGGAGAGAAGAGAAAATAAGATTAGGGTTTGAAAGAGTATAGTAGATAATTAAAGGTAGTGGGAATTATGAACGGAATTAGCATCTTTGTTCTTGGGTGGAATATTAGCTAGGGGGTTTTCTCTAATTATTTTTGGGAGGGGGTGTTTTCTTAACTCATTTACCTTGAGAGGGGTTCTTGCTAATTATCCCAATGATGTTTTACGAAAAACAGAGGCCCCTAAAAAGTTTGATTTTTCGGAGTACAAGAGCCAATAATGTTGCAACAACACCGGAAGTGCTCCAACCTGGATTAGCCGATGTAATTGCATATAATGCCGCATGGGCCTCTCCATTCACTACTTTCCGACATCCTGGGCCTTTTTAACACTCCACCAAACACACGAGCCTTGAGAATCACAAGCTACATTGGCCATCACGTAATAATTCATCCCCGAAATGCAACGTCATAGTTTATTTTCACCACTCCACCCTCTGGTGGTTTCCAAACGGCAGGATGAATTCTCTCTTTTACCGGTACAAAGCGAATTTGGTTATGCTGGAAGTTACTCAAGTAGTAGAGAGCAGAGACACCAACTAACTACGTCTCCAGCAGGAAGCTCGTCCTCCCCATGAGCCACCTTATTCCAATTATCCCACAATTTCCAGACAACTACAGACAAATGGAAATTGCCTAGAGAAAGTCGTTGGTGAAGATACTCGATCAGGCTCAAGTCGACGGTGGTTGATCATCAATAATATAGTGTCGAAGGGATGGGAATTCCAAACCTGACTTTAGCTGCCACATTTAGTTATAACATGAAGAGAAGTTCCGTAGTTTGTTTCACAACGTCGGCAACGAGGATTCACAACAATCGTTATGCGGAAAAGCTTTGGTTGAGTTGGCAATATGTTCGAGATTCCACACCAATTTCCAATTTCTCTTTACCACTCCGCTGCCGGATCCTTCCTAAGATATGCCACTAGATCGAACTCCAAGAATCCGTGAGAACAGGCTGTGGTAACACGATCGAACTGTAAACTTTCCATTCTTCGAAAAATGCCAGACCCACCTTTCCACCAACGAAGAGCAGCCAATCGGCACCGCCAGAATCCTATCTCTATCTACTAGCAAAAAAATATTCATCAAGGAGGGTCGGGTTCCAAGAACGAGAGGTTGCGTCAATAATGTCCGAGACTCTATTCGGGAAAGCACAATGAATTGGTCTTGTTGTAAACACTATAAAAGTACCATCATCTGTAAGCCATGGGTCCGACCATATTGAAGTAGATCGCCCGTCCCCAACTCTCTTTCTAATGCCCGAGAAGAAGCAATCTCTAGCCATCAATAAACTCCTCCATGTGGCTGAAGGGCGCCTCCCGAGTTCGGCTGTCAAAACATCTCCTTGGGGAAAATAGCATGCTTTCATAATTTTAGAGGAGCAGATGAGGTTGGGAAAGAATCCTCCACACTTGCTTGGTAAGACAAGCAATATTGAAACATTTCATGTTCTTAAATCCTAGACGGCCAGCATCCTTTGCCTTACAGAGTCGATTCCACGCCAACCATGCTAGCTTCCAATCATCACCGTTACCCACCAATACCGTTTAATTGCTTTTTCAATCTCCTGGAGAATTCCATTCCGAAGAAGAAAACAACCCATAACATAAGATGGGATTTTGCTTGAAGTACATCTTTAATTAACACATCCTTACCCGCTTTTGATCCCTTTATCTTGGCCCAAATTTGGTCCCGAAGATACCCAAATATTTCGTTTTTCGTCCTTCCCATACTTGCAGGCAGACACAAATACTTCTCATCATGCCGATCCACTATTTGGAAACCGAGAATCTGGTAGATTGTAGCTAGCTTGACACTCCTGATTCGTAGATGGGCAAAACATCATTGTGGATTTTTCGTAATTATTTATCAAGATTGTTTAACAGGCTAATTTCAAATTTGCATAACCAATAACTAAAACATATTTATTTCCAGGAAAAAGGAGAGAGCAAATTACTAGAGAGAAAAGGTCAACTCACATTAAAACAGAAATTCTGGAGAAAATACAGAAACACTTGTTGTATCAACTAAAACATAGCCAAACCCAAAATCTATATTCCTACCTACTGTAGAAAACACTAGAAAAAAGCGATAACCACCCATATACAACACAAACCCATACATATCATAACAACAACACACCACAATTAAGCAGCAGCAGAAGCTTTCTTCGCCTTCTTAGCAGCAGGTGATTTTATGCTCTTGGGCTTCACAGGTGTCGCCTTCTTCACCGGCGCAGCCTTCTTCTTCACCGGCGTAGCTTTCTTCACGGTCTTCGCCTTCTTCACCACCTCTGCCTTCCTCTTTGTTCCGACGGCGGCGGATGTGGTCTTTTTAGTGACAAGTGGTGCAGCCTTGTCCTTCTTTCCAGTTTCAGAGAGCTTATAGGAAGCCTTGATTTTTATGAGCTTTCCCTTAGCAGCAGAGTTCTTAAGCTGGAGACCCAAAATCTTCCTGAAATTTGGAGGCAGAACACCCTTATGTTTATCTTCCATGTACTTTGCTATTGCGTATGGGCTAGATCCGCTCTTCTCTTTCAATGCCAACACTGCCTCCTTTATCATCTTTATCATTCATTCACACCCAAATTCATCATTTTTAGTTCTCAATATATTATCTAATTGCAACAAATAATTAACAACCGCAATACAAAACACAGTCGGACATATGAGATAATTAAACTGACCTCAAAGTAAGGCGGGTGGGAAGCAGTTTTGGTGGCAGTTTTCTTCGACTTTTCCTCCTTCGCCGCCGCTTCGGGTTTCTTTTCTTTGACGGGCTTCCTCTCCGCCGCGGTTTTCTTAACTTCTCCGGTGGACGGCATCACGACTACGATCGGAAATGATTATCTTATCTCTGTGTAAAATGGGTTTTATTGGAGAATGAATGCTTTGAACTTGTGTTTTAAGCAGGCGTGGTTTTTGCTTTATATAGCGGAGCGCGATCCGTGCGGTATGGAATGCTTAACTCTGATTGGACAACTTTAAAACACTCGGATTGAGAACTTTTGCTAGGATACATCCCTCGCGTCCACGTGGCATATTTTCACCCATTGATTGTGGTTTGAATTGGATTCAGCCGGTGCCATTCTTATCCGGAAAGAGTGTAGGTGTGGGTTTCTCTTTGGCCCCTAGTTTTCAAGGGGTGTGTTTTCTTGCCCAATTAAGGCCTCAATCATCTCACATTTTTTATCGATTTGATTTGGGAATTTTAATGGGACTGATATTGAGAATATAGTGGTTGTAATGTGGGTTGGATCAGAAAAAATGGTGTTAATTTTGATTCATTTTAGGGGCATTAAAGATAAAACAATTTTTGGTTCCCTAGTACATGCCCGACAAATTAAATCAATTAATTGCGTACCTTTGCGCTTCCAGCGAAATTAAAAACAACATACATGCTAATAAATTTAACCGAATTTAAATCAATTAACATGCTCGCAATTTAAACCAAATAACATGCTCGCAACGATTTAATCGATTACACATAATCACATAAAATCATACAAACACAAGCATGAAATCATAGTTTAAATTAAACCCTAAAACGGAACTAGGGTTTCGAGTATTTACCTCTTGACGCGTGAGGTAGGATCGAACGATTCGTCGTGATTACTACGGAAACCAATCCGTAGAATCGGGGCAGCAATGGAGCAGCAGCAGCGGCGGTGTGGCAGCTCACGGCGGCGCGTGTACAGCACGCGCGGTTGTGCGAGGCGGCGCGTGGGGCAGCGTGCGGCTTCGGCTCGTGCGTTGCTCCTCGATTCTTCGATCTACGGTCTTCCTCCTCTCGGATTTCACCTCGTATACTTCGATCTACTAAATCGTGGCACTAGACACGAAGTAGTTAGAATAAAACGGAAAGAAAATAAAGGAGAAAGAATACCGAACAAAAGCCGGCCGAGGAACGGCCGTTTCCGGCGACGGAGCGGCGGTGGTGGCGCGGTGGTGGCCGCGCGGAAGAGAGGCCGAGAGAGAGAGGGTGGCCGATTAGGGTTAGGGTTTTTTTTGTGTATATGTGTATGTGTGCTAGGGTTATAAATCATGTATTTATAGTCCCTAGCATGAAACCCTAGCGGGCTTAAGTTGGAGTGGGCCCAACAGCTTAAGCTCGTTAGTTTCTTTAATCGCTCGTATCTCTCAATTCAATGATCGAAAAATTGTAACGATTACAATTTCCGAGTCATTATAATTTTCTCGTCATTACGAGTGCCATCTCTTATTTTCCAACTTTCCAAAAGTGGAAACCCTAGTTCAGTGGACTTTCTAAATTTGGAAACTTCCCGATTTAGAAAGTTCACTAACATGTTCGCTTATTCTTTTCCTTTTCTTATTCTCATTCATAATTCCAAATTACGAATGTTGGACTCAATCATATTGACTTCCAATTATGCAAAGATAAACTATTTTATCTCTGACCGTTTATTCAAAGATCTCATGTGCACGAGCAGTGTGACCCTCGATGGTTCAGGTGTAAGCTAGCCGTGGGCCCACAACTCTTTGTGGTCAAAACTCGTCCCCTTCGAGTTACAATTAAGATGAAGCTCGTTTCACCTTAATCACCCAACGAATCAAGATTGGCGTCTAGCAACTACGCGTCATGATTCCCTAGATACAAATGAAGTGCCTGCAAGAACCTTCAGATATAGTTAACGTACAGTACGGTCCCTTCGATTCATATGTCCCGATTGAACTAGAGGCATTGGTTCATCGAGACCTCTTTATATGTTCAATAACGGTGCGATCGTTCTAAGTGTTGTAATCCTTACGTGCATGACTTAAAGAATCGAATTCTCTAATCATCACTTAGTCAGCTCTGGCCAGAGACTTAGAATGAATACAAACTTTCAGAACACACAGGACATCCAAGACTATTCTAGCGATCGAATCCCCGACTACAATGCACAGACCTCCCACTAGATTTCGGACTGCACGAACACTGGCCCTTGGGATGGTCCTCGGTGGAACTCAGGGACAGGTCACGATACAGCTGGTCCTCTAGTGAAGTCACGGTGATGTCTAGGTCATAAGGACTAATGGTGTACAACTATACCATAGATATCTCTACTCGATTATTGGGAACCACTTAGAGATTTCTAGGGTGAGGGAGTTCAGTGAACTCGTCAACTTACGAGCACCCACTTGTGCATGCCGATATCACAATACCGTTTACTGATGAGATGCAGTACACATACACTAAGTGCTAGTCTTAATGGGAAAGGCCGATATCCTCATTAGTGGCGTAACCCTTCGACTAGGAACACGTTTAACAGTTATAATACTTAAGTAAATATCTCACGATCCTAACGATCAATTACTAGTACTTGTAATAACTGTAAGGACTATATCTATGCTTGTGACAAAGGGACAAAGATATAGAATGCCAATGTGTTTTATCATTAATACGAATAAAGGTTCGTTTATTACAATAATAAATACGAAAGACCACAGCCACAAGTTGGCTTGTTGGTCACCTACTCTAACATTGTTAATATACAAAAGCCAACTACCCATAAACCGCAATCCCATCGACTCTCGATGTTTCTCATGGACCGATCTTGGTAAAGGCTTCGTGAAGGGGTCTGCTACGTTCTCTTCCGAGGTGACTCGTTCTACCTTAACTTCACCTCTATCAATGATCTCTCGGATCACGTGATACTTCGATCAGAAAGTAATTCCGAAATTTCCGAAAGTATTTGCAAATAATTCCAAAAATATTCAAAAATTATTACTACTGTTTATTAATTATTATATATTTTAAGTTAAATTTTTTTTATTAAAAAAAAAATAGGCTACATCAATCCATCAACCCCTTAGGCTCACTTTTAGCAAAATCCTAAACCCAATGTCTTCCTAAGTAACGGGAATTTTAAACCCTAATTTCGAACTCATTCTCTTCTCCCTTCTCTCTTGCATCAGCCACTCTCACCTTATGGAATCTCTCATTTCCTCCACCACCAGCCATTCTTTCTCTGTGTGGAATCTCTTATTTCTTCCACCAGCCCCGCCACTTGTTCTCTCCGCCGAGCACCGAACACCACCTGAGTCGGCCCTCTTTCTCTCCTTGTAGCACCACCAGCACTGTCCCTCATTCTCTCCGCGCAGCATAGCCAGCACCGTTCCTCATTCTCTCCGCCGAACACCACCTACACTGCCCCTCATACGCTCCGGCGTGACCAATGCCTCAGCCCAGTCACCGCCTCTCATTCTATCCTTGCAAAGCGCCGAAAAATCCAAAAAATGAATAATTCCGAAATATTCCGATTTTCTGAAATTTTCTAAAAAAAATTGGAATCGAAATCAGAATCAATATTGTTGTTCCGAAAAAAAATCGGAAATTTTCCGAAAGGACGATGTCTGATTTGATCATTCTGATCTCCACTCCTACAGAGATATAGATAGATAGATGTTCCCGAGTACACTCACGAATCTTCAAGCTCAAGTAAATCAGGAAAAGCAGGCCCCCCTACCACGTGTCCAAGGTGAACGCGGGGTTACAATCCGAATGTCAAGCGGTAGACCCCATGCAGAGTAGAAATCTTCGCTCCAACTTACAAAATAGAGACAAACACTATGTGACTCGCCGGGGTTGGCCCGGCGATTAACCTCCAACGATCAAGTCAGCGGAGATAATCTTTATAGAGTAGAAAGCTCTTTAAATTGTCAAGGAAATAGAATCTACCTCAAATGAATAGTGAACTCAAGCATTTATAGCAGTCTCTTAAAGCATCTCCATTAGAGAGAGGGTGTTTCCCCCTCTCCCTCCCTCTCCCCCTACCCCGATCTACATCGTCTCCAACCGCTCGGTCTTCTATTACAATTTTTTGAACACCGACTCTCACCGCCATAAGAATAACAATAATAAGATAATAATAATATCAATAATCAAAAAACTAAATAAAGAAACAAAATAATAACTTGTTGTTTTTGTCTAATTTTTACGATTATAAAAAAATATATGAAAAAAGTAAATAAAATAAAACCAAACAAAAAAATAAATAATAAAAAAATTCGAATAAATATATAACTCACAAGAAAATAAATGAAAAAGAAATGGAAAAATATATAAAAAGTGTTTATTTACAAATTAGGGGCCTTACGATGTCCCTGGTGACAAAACTTATTATAACCAAATGACAAGTCTAACTACACATTTGCTTGACATTTCATTCCAAAAACGCCCCCGAACAGAAAAAATAAAATCTGCACCAAGTAATATTTAAACTGTATTTATCATTTTTTCATTCTACATTTAACATTTTCATTTTTGCATCAAGCATTTTTGTTATTATTATTTTTTTCGTAGAACATCTTTTTGTTTTGTTTTTTTTTTTTTTTTTGCATCTTCGTATTGTTTTCCTTTTTTTCTACATAGAATTGAAAATTATGATGTTTTAAATTTTTTTCGGCCGTTGTCATCTATAGAAACCAGTTCGAAACCATAGTAGTCCGTAGTGACGTATAGACACTCGTAGGAAAATGCAGTAATCCGTAGTCACATATTCTCAAAACCCTAACTCCTTCTTTGAACCCTAGCCGCCACACACCATAGACACCCATACACACTCACAGACATCTGTAGACATGAAATTGAAAAATCTTAGATCCACCCCATCAAACCCTAGATCTCCTCCACCAAACCCTAGATCCGCGACGCCAACGTCACCCACGACGCTAAAGATGCCACAAACCCCATCCACGTTGTCGACGCAATACCCACCCCCAACATCGATGCGCCACTAGCACCAACCCCCAACCCCGAGCGCTGCCGCCCAACGAGCGCCATCCTCATGCCCAACGCCGCGTCACCACCAGACCAGCGCCTCCCCAGAGCCGTCGCCGCCATCGCCATCCATATATTATTTCACACTAAGGATTTAGTAAAAAAAAATTGAATTTAGACTTA